ACGAAGACGACCGAATAAACCAAGCCCGAACCTGTAGGGCTAAAATAATCACTTGTAATCCAAATGTGTGATGGACTTTCGTGAAACACTGAGACCCTAAATAATCAATCTAACATAGTGAATTTTCTTGTACGCAACCGTTTGACACCGTTTGGGAAAAAGACAATCCCATAACAAAAAAAACTTGTGAAACTTATTGATAGCCACCAAACATAACAAATCGCAGCAACAAAGCATCTCGCTCTAACAGCCATTCTAGTGGACAGTCACGAGCCAAGGATGTCAAGCCTTCGCCTCTTTCCACTTTGGAATACATCATCCTACCCGCGAAGGCGCCTCGAGTTTCTCTCTGGAGGATCAAGTCCACGAGATGAAGTTTGAACATGACATCTTTCAGCCTCTGCATGAGGCCCAACAACTAAAGTCTGCACAACTAGATGAAGCTTACTTACCATCAATTCAACATCCCGCAAAAAAATTCTCTGCTTGAGCATGCTTATACCGAGCCCCCTCCTTGGGATGAAATCCTTCCTCTACTAGGCCGAGACGCCAAACTCAATACCACGAGTTTCAATCACCTGTCGTGCACAGCTAGGCTGGCTAGCCAACCTCTAGCGCTCATGAGAAACTTAGCCTCACCTCGTCATGTTGCAGCAACAACTCACATGACCTGGATGCAGCTTAAAATGATGGTTCATTTACATAAGCACCCACAATTCTTATGTATTTACATATCTCACACCTAATCATTCATATTTACACATAAAACACTCAAATATTCAATATCACATTAAAAATAACATCATTATCACTTTTTTAAACGTGAAATACATTTTTTCATGTAGCACTAAAGTGCTATGCATGTAAGGACCAAAGTAAAGGTAAGAGATATATAAATACCCAAGAATTGTGTGCAACATATGCAAATTTCACATTAAAAACAGATGTACATCATCTGAAAATTTAGATATTTAGGATTAATATTTCAACATTCATTTTGGCCGCTTAGCCAGGCAGCAATCATCAAAATAAACATTAAATTTTATTTGATAATGTCTTGAAATATATCATCAACATGTCATTATACAGTAAACCATAATTTGCATGCAAATAGTTTGCTTTCCATCCAGTTTTCAACCCAGCAAACCACCACTTAATGCCAACTAATTTTCTAATGGTCAAAATTCTTGTTTTTGCAATGATTGATATGAACACTGTAGAGCAAAATGAGAATTTACAAAGAAGAAACATAAAGGTCTATCATATCATAAAAAAATTTCAACTACCGCTATGGTGGATGGCCTTTCAGCCAAAAATATGAATAATGTTTACGATTTAACGCCAAAATGCCACTAGACCGAGAGATTGTTACATACCAGTTGCTAGAATTTCTGATCGAATGGGAGAGATGATAATCCTTTTGAAACTGAATACCAGACCTGAAACATTAAAAACTGCAGGGAATGAAAGCGATGTTGGGGCTAAATATTGTTATAGGAAGCTCTTCGTAATTATATCAGATCAACAATTAGGGAAAAAAAAAAAGGAGATTGTGGCAGAATCTGTTGATGAAAAGAAAAAAAAAAGGAGATTGTGGCAGAATCTGTTGATGCGCATGTATCAAGATAGTGAGAATTCTTGCCTCTAACTTTTGTTTTTAAAACATATTTATTTGATATATATTTTAGATATTTTTATTATTTTTTTAAAACACTTCTAAACAATCTTTACATGTTTTGAGTGTTGAGTGTTTTTAAAAAGCATATTTTATTTTAGCATGCCAACCATATATTATTTCAAATAAAAATATAAGTAAAATAAAATATATAAAAACAAATAATAAAGATGATCCCAAATGGCACTTTGATTATCATATCAACTGATTTGGGCACAATCATTTTATTTTTTTATTTTTTTGTTTTATGTTTCTATTTTATTTCAGTTTGATTTGAAATAAAATATGTTTAGTATATCGAAAATAAATCAAATTATTTTTAAAACAAATCAAAAATTATAAGTTATTTTGATTAATAAAAAATAAAAATATACTAAAAAAATAAAAATAAAATTGATCCCAAGCGTACCCTTGGTTTTATTAAAGCATAACACATGTAGAATGAAATTAAAAAACATAATTGAAATAATCCAAATAAGAAAGTCAAAATATTACATACGAAGCACCTGAAACATCACTATTTGCAAAATCTAGCGCCCATGTGATATTTTAAAATACCGAAACGATGTGTTTACACGTGCCACAATCAAACCATTGAGAATTTGATAAAAAAATAAAAGATAAAGGTTGGGGTTACATCATGATTTTTGATATTTGAATGAGAATATGGACAATGGATGAAAGTGGACGCTAGATTTGTAAATAGCAATGTTTCAGATGCTATGTATGTAATTGTTTCTCAGCAATACCTGAAGCAACTCGTTGAGTCAACCCAAGATGGTCATTCCATGTGAATTTACCTTCTAATCTTCAGCCACTTGCCTCATGAGCTGCCACTCATCAGCCAAAAGTCTTGGTAGGAGTCGAGACTGGATATGCTCCAGAAACTCGGAATGCAACAACCGCACTTTCTCAATCTTCTCATATTCAGCGGTTCCCTTGTGGACCAATTTTAACTGAACATTTAGTTCCTCTCTTCTATTACTTGGTACTGGTTTGACCTGAATATGGCTACCTAACTCAGTAAAAGCTTTGGAATATATAAGAAATGGGGCATTTACATGCATACCACCCAATTCCTATGTATTTGCATATTGAAAATTTAAACTTTGCTTTTTTACATGTATCTATGTAAAAATCTTCCTATAAAAATATATCCACTGAAGTTTTCAATGTTGTTTCTCATTAAACATTGAACTTATGCATTGTTTAAATTATGGACAGGTCAATGACTGCAGTAACAAACATCCCTACAGAAGATTACCAAACCAGCAGCATTTCAAGAAGAATGCTGAAGTGTAATAAGAGTTTTTATTGTTCTATTCAGATTAAAAGACCCTTCACAATTGCATAGCCATATATCTGATAGTAAATCAGGAATATGTGAAACACAATGTATGTAATTAACAGTGCTGCTTGATAGCCTTAAACAACAATTGACACAATTTAGATGTAAACATGTAAAAATAAGAAAATATAGTAATACTTCAAATAGATCACTGTAAAACGAGATAAACAAATTCAACACAACTATTTTGTATTTTGTCGAGGTGACACAGTCTTCTGCATCGCAACAGATAAAGTGAATCGCTAATGAATTCATAAAAAATGAATACTAGTTTTAAAATGAGATACAATTCAACATTAATTTCATTTAAAATAATACTTAGAATTGACATTAATTTCATTCAAAATAACCCATTTATCATCAACCTATAAATAATGCAAAACGTTAAATATTGCAAACAAATACTCCAACACCATAATCACGCCAAAAAACATAAAGCTGTAGAACATTAATAAATGGAGGGAGGATCTCATAAGCTATGAAATACAATGCATACATACTAACCTCATATGCTGGCATAAACCCTTCTGCTATTCCAAAACAAGCATCATCAATTATCCAAGGTCTGGAAAAAAGTAAATTTCATTAGAAATATTGAAGTACTCTCACTTTCAATAATATGTGCTTGACCTTCAAACCAGTATTGAAAAGGAAAAGCACCTACCATATCAGCAGTCAAATAATAGGAATTATGGCTCTATTATATAAATGCAACTTATATTCTATGAATTAGTCTCTTTATATAAATCTTATGGAATTAATTTTTTTGGAAAACATTAGAATTATTATGAAGCAAGAGCTTCCCGCGACTATAGGATTTCGCAATCTTAAGAGATGGGCCAATACAGTTTTGTTTTCCTTTCTTATGCTTTATTTCCTATTATGCTTCATTCCTTCTTAGTATTTTCCTATACATGTGTCGTATTAGGGTTTGGAATTCCGTTTTAGGATCAGACATCAGTCAGGACAGTCATCGGTATTTGTTCCTCCCTTTGAGGGATGTATCCAAAGGTTTGGGAGGTGCTTTGGTTGTATCTCTCTCCCAGAGTGATATTTAGGGCTGTAAAAATTAGCGAATTTAGCTTGAAGATTGTTAATTGCTAGAAAACTAATCCGAATTTTGACTCGGATCGAGAATAAACAAGTCGAGCTACGAGCCAAAATTTTGGATCAAATTTCTTTTAAGCTGACCTCAACTCGGCTTGAAATCTAATTGTTAATAGGCCTACATCTTGCTATTTGGTCGGATGGACAAGCCCTCGCAGATCACCACCACCATCCTGAGATTTCACTCTAGTTTGATTATTTTTATCATGCCTGCTACTATTTTTGATTTCTGGGTGGCATATTGTTATATTTTTCCTTTCAAGTGTGGTGATTGTAACCGCTTAGTTGTTTCAGGCAATAATATTTATTTTTCTATTATATTTTGGGTCAACTCCAGTACCATATTAATTCGTTGAAGGATATATAAATACCTCAAAAGAAAGTTGAACAGCAAAAAGTGTTGAATAAAAAAATTAAAATTAAAATTTAAAAATAAGAAAAAAAATAAAAAATTGAACAAAAAGTGTTAAATGGCGTAGGTGATGAGGACATATAAATTGAGGGCAGAACACACACCATAAGATACATACAAAAGAGTAGGAAGGACAAAAGAAAGACCAAAATAATACGACATGTTATCTCATTCATGATTGATGGTGGCATCCAATAATAGCATACTACTGATGAAGATGAGTTCTCGAAAAATTGCTAGTATCGGAGCACATATCTATTCCAAATTAAGTCTATTATAAGAAATTATGGAGGCAATAATATGTTGAATATGGAGGCCTAGGCAGAAATGCTACAATGCATCAACGCAGATTGAGATAAAGTTAATTGATGTGTACTAAAATATTAAATACGACAAAAAAAATGACAAAATGAATCCTCCAAATAGCGCACGTCTATTATAAGAAATTATGGAGGCAATAATATGTTGAACATGGAGGCCTAGGCAGAAATGCTACAATGCATCAAAGCAGATTGAGATAAAGTTAATTGATGTGCACTAAAATATTAAATACGACAAAAAAAATGTCAAAATGAATCCTCCAAATAGCGCACTTAAAGAATGTAAGCACTGTAAAGAAAATCACAGATTGCCTCATTAGCAAGAATTATTTGAAAGCTCATAGAGGCTCTCAATGAAAGGTCGGCACAAAAAAGAAAGAAAGAAATGTTGTTTGGGGGGTCACCCGTAAGAAGCTGTCGGCTGCCGGAATTGAAATCTCATCGCCTGCTTCGGAAGGTTTCGTTCATCTAAAGGAGATATTTAGATTGATGGAAGAAAATTTAATCAACAAGTAACAGTTGAATATCTGTAATGATGCCATATATCGGTATCATTGCTCGCTAATTAAGGCTATAAAATCTCTGTGATTATGCATGTAATTAAGTAGTACAGTTGCAAATATTTATATTAAAAATATATTTGTATGCTCCTTGTTCTGTCAAAGTTAATTATTGTAGTTGTTCATATTTAGCCTTGTACTATGTCAGCTATATTCTATGCAAACAGAAGAATCTTTGGTATGAGGAGTCTGATTGACATGAATATCAGTCATCATGTTGCGCTCAAGAACACTAGTCTTCCAAGTTTGTCCTCTAACGACAGTTTTCAGCAAACTTCGTATGACGTGGGGCTCCTTTGGTGGCCGGCTGGAAGATTCCGGTCCAGCAAGAGGCTGGATCGGCCGGCCTGCTTAGGGCAAGAATTTTCCTCCTTTCCGCCCAATCTAACCCCTCCCTTGGAGAAGATTCCCTTTCTATTATATTGCTCGTTATTTCCATCTGCTTTCCTATTTCTATTTCTTTCCAATTCCAATTCCTTCCGATTCTATTGCTTGCCTTTTCTATCCCCTTCCCTATTTCTACTTCTTTCCAATTTCAATTCCTTCCTATTCTAACTACTAGCAACTATTA